GAGTTTGATAACGGCTTGTGAAATTTCTGCAGTCTAAAGTTTCATGTTGTCTGCACATGTACTTTCTTTGGAGACACCATTTGTTTTGTCAAAATGATCAAGATAGTGACTCTGATTGATTCACATATTGTATTGCCAAATGACTGTTGACATTGCTTTTCAGTCAACAATATTTTGAGGGTGAGTCATGTTTTTGAAATGACAATAAATTTTTATTACCCAACCCTTGAGTTGTTTTGTTTTTCATTTACCCAACCTTTTACTTACTCAAAATTTTGTTTACCCAACCTTTTTCTCTTCGGTACCACCCCCCACCATAAATAATGACCGGTCCCTTAGCTATATATGAGACTGAGAATCCCCAGTAAGATTGTCCGAGAAGGCAGCAGAATATAACTCTATTTACTAGTCTAAGTAAAAGCTCTAAAAAGGCTGTTATAACAAACTTAGGGAGCTTTCGATTTAATCGGGCCTGACCAGTCAGACCAGAATTTTTGTCTGTATCAATGGAAAGATCTGGTCTATGTTTCTCAAATATCTAGCGAAAATGGACCTCACTCTAATGTTATCTAGATTTTCCGGTCAGATAGGTCTGAAGCCCAAATGTTTTGTGTTCCATTCAACAATTCGACCGTGTTAATGGAAAGCGCCCTAACAATCGGGTAAAAACTAAAAGGCTGTATCAATAAATTTAAACTAAAAAGGCTTAAACAAGGAAATTTGCATACGATGTGGTAATTGTGACACTGACTCCCTTTGTAACTGGTAACTGTCTTTGCTCAACAGAGGCTTTGCTAGCTTGACATACGCCTTACCCGACGCGAGTGTGGCATCCTAAATTCACCTCCGTGTGATTTTCTTTTTCTTTTTAGGATGTACAGTGAAGTTTGACGGTAAATATGTAGGCGCACAAATAAAATTCCTTGATTTGAGCTCGAAGGGTAAAACAAAAATATACTGGTTTACTGATTTTGCAAGTGATAAAGTAAAGTCATTTAATGTTATCAGCATTGCTTACCATGATGGTAGTGCGATAAAAACCAAGATTTTAAAAGAAAAAGGAAAGCCAAAAGAAAAGTGGAGTCGTAACTGGGAAGCTACAATTGAGGTAATCATACACAAGTTGAATTTACGTGAGAGCGGAGCCCTTATACCCTGGCTCCAGAGGCTCTTTGCGAGGAGCCTTAAGCCCTGGTCAAACTGTTCGTGGTCAAATCAAAATGAGAGTTACAACCTCGGTGTTTGACCGCCAACGCTCATGCATCAACTTTCATCAAAATTTACGCAATGCCGTTTCTCTATTTTATTTTCAGTGGAATAAAGTTTCGAATGAATACTATGGCAAGTTGTTCCGAGTTAATATCTCGTATGAAATTGAACGAAAAATTGGAAACCAGAAATATATTGACAAAAATGATTGCTTTGTTTTCAAGTCTTCAGGAAGTATAACTGGTAAGAAATTTTCAATATTTTTAAACTGTTCTTGGTAGAATTGGCCTTTTTATAACACGTTGCATAACAGTAGTGCCCACTGGGGGCGTCGGAAGCGGGGACATTTTTTTCGTTGGGAGGGCCTAAATTTAAAGTTACGCGTCTAGACAAAACGATTTATTTTATGACATTTTGTTACCTTTAGAACTCAGTAGATCTCCTTCTAAAGTGCAAGAAATGGAATTTCAGAAACTCTAGTTTTAATTTTTTTCCGGAGAGCATGCTCCCGGACCCCCTAGAACTTCGCCGGGCGCTAAATGTGCCCCCCCCCCACACACACACACTTCTAGAGCCGCTCGGCCGACGCCCCTGATAGTGCCATCCAGATCCAGTGATCGCAATGTTCCATTGTCTTTTCATTGTTTTCGCAATTCCACTGTTCTCCATAAAATCTAGTCATGATTCCTTGATCGGAATGCTTTGTTGTCTTTTCCGAGTTATTTTCTTGTTTTAAGAATAAGAATTTAATTAAATATCTTGACGATCTATGACATTACAATTTTCTTTAAACATTGTATAGTGACCTTCCCAAGTCTACCCTCAACGACTTTACCACCTTCAACAACAAAAAAATCAACATCAACCACACGATCCCCAAGATCCACATCACCAACAACCACACCACCAACAACCATACCACCAACAACCACACCACCAACAACCACATCACCAACAGCCACACCACCAACAGCCATACCACCAACAACCACACCACCAACAACCACACGACCAACAGCCACACCACCAACAGCCATACCACCAACAGCCATACCACCAACAACCATACCACCAACAACCATTAACGGGATTTCAACACCTACTCATTCTATGATTACTACTCAGGTGAGATTCGAGAATAATGGCGAAATCCGTACCGCAAAAATAATGTTTACATAGGGCGGAAAAAAATTAGGAGGGCGGGAAAAAATTTGCCCAACGTTGATAGAAATTGTCCGACTTTATCATGGGTTTATTGGCAGTTGATTAACATGTAAACAGAAGGAACACATCACCTACACAGTCGCGCAGAAATACAAAGTCAATTTTAAAACAATAAACAATTGCCCTATTTTTCACAGAATCTGCCCAACTAAACACTGACTGAGGCGGTTGCAGCCCCCCTCTCCCCGCCCCCCTCTCCCCTCCCTGTCCCTATCAATCGTTAAAGTTTGGTTCCACATTTCCCTCGCTTCTTGAAAGAACGTTTACTAAAGTAAATGTTTTGTTTTGTCTTTTAAATTCAGATCAAGGAATCCAAAGAGACGCGAAAACCGACGGAATCCAACGGCAAGACAGATGAGCCATCAGAGCTTACCCCTGGGGCGAGGAAGGAAGGCGGTGGGGGAGGTAATGATGCTATGACTGTGTCCCTAGCTGTGGTGGGTTGTCTTCTTCTACTTGTTGCTGTTGTGGTGGTTGTTCTGTGGACAAGAAGACGGTCTGCAAAAGCATCAAAAGAGAAAAATAGAGGTAGTTATGAATTATTAATTTACTGTGAATTTGGGTTTGATTTTTGCAGTTGTCTGCGAGAGACTTTGATTAAGACTGGACCAATAACAAATACAGTAACCCTCACACCTGGGGAGAAAGTTTATAAAGCACAGATTTGAAGGCTGTTTTCCAGTCACGCGTTTTTCATACGTGCGTATACGAACGGGAAAGTTTAAATATTTTTAAATGTTACTTATGAAATAACTGAATGAATAAAAGGTGAATGATTTAATGTGCATTTGTACAGGTAATTTATATTTTGTCTTAAATTGAAAAATATATAAACTTTTCCGTGCGTATAAAAACGCGTGATCGTAAAACTAATTGAATCCTCCTATTTTTAAATATTTTACAAATAAGTTAACAAATGCATACTAAAACTTGAGGAACACTAAATTCTGTTTCTTTATTTATTTGGTTATTATAAGTAACATTTAAACGGATCTAAAGTTTTACGTGCGTATACGTACGTATGAAAAACGCAACAGTGGAAATCAGCCTTAAGATTGACAGAGGCATCCAGTATGAATACAGTTAGTTTAATGTGGGTTGATCAATAAGGCATGACTCTTCAGTTTAGAAATAATAGAGCTGTTCAGCAAAAATGAAGTTGGTTTCCTTTTAAATAAACTCTAGGAAGAACAGTTTCGGACAACCGACATTGCTTGTGAAATTCTAATACTGTAATTAATTAATATTTCATTATTCTTTCTTTTCATAGGGGCTGGTGATGCAGACGGAAGTGTCGATGTAAGCCAACTTTATATATTAATGTTCTGCCATATTATCTTACATCTAGTGCAGTTTTTGTAACATCCATAAGTTTCAGATTTAATTTGTATGAAAAGTTAATTTGTGTCATTCTCATGTCGTTGTAGAATCCATTGGAAAATATTTACGCCGAAGCAGACACTTCAATAAATTATCCTCAAAAGGGTAGGGATGCAGTATATAACCTAAACTAACTAGTTCGATTCATCGCTTATTAGTGCATTCTTACTACATACAAGAGAAAACCTAAACTAAACTAACTTTATTTATACTGGATAACTCTATCAGTTCTAAACTGTTCTTCCTAGAGATCTAGTAAAGATCATTTCTTATTGATCCAGTGTTACTACAGGAGGAAATCTAAATTAAACTAACTTTATTTATACTGGATAGCTCTATCACTTCTAAACTGTTCTTCCTAGAGGTCCAGTAAGGGTCATCTCTTATTGATCCAGTGTTACTACAGGAGGAAACGTGAACTAAACTAACTTTATTTATACTGGATAGCTCTCAGTTCTGAACTGTTCTTCCTAGAGGTCCAGTAAAGATCATCTCTTATTGATCCAGTGTTACTACAGGAGGAAACGTGAACTAAACTAACTTTATTTATACTGGATAGCTCTATCAGTTCTAAACTGTTCTTCCTAGAGGTGCAGTTAAGGATCACCCCCCATTGATCCAGTGTTTAAAGTTCCTAGCAGTTTCCTAACATGAACGTCGGTTTTTTTTGTAGATAAGAATAATCATGTGTATGAATACGCCAAAGGAAACTTAGAAAGTAATTACACCAGTTTGGACATGAGCAAAGTTGAAAGTAAACCGACCTATGAATCACTCGTTAATGTACAGAGCAATATGGTAAGGTTCTCAATATTTTCATTCAATTTGAATTTTTTGTTGTTGCCGAGACCTATTGGAGATTTTGATGGTGGGAATTTTTTTGGAATGAATTGTTTTTTAATTTTGTAGTATGAGCAGATTCCAGTCAAAGGTTACACTCCCGGTGCGTCTGGCGTGAGTGGACAAACACCAATAGCAGGTACGTTGGAGGAGGAATGAAGGAAGGGAGGAAATGGGAAGTGAGGGAGGTGGGGAGAGAGGAAGGAGGGAGGAAGAGAGGAAATGAAAGGGGAGGGAAGGGGAGGTGGAGGGAGGACGAGTGGGAGGACGAAGAGAGGAGGGAGGAAGAGAGGAGAGAGGGAGGAGGGAAAGAGGAAGGAGAGGGGAGGAAGAAAGGAAGGAGAGAGGAAGAGTGGGAGGAGAGAAAGAAGGGAGGAGGGGAAACGATTGAGAAGAGAGGGAAGGAAACAAGAGGATTAGGAAGAATAGGAGGAATGAAACGTGGGATCAGGAATGAATAAAGGAAGGAGGAGCGAAGGAGGTAGCGAAGCGGGCAGAAAGCGATTGGCGAACGTTATGCAAAAACAACTCTGTTTCATCTAGAACCTTTTTATCATGTTGTGGACACACCAGAGGGGGGCCAAGATCCTGGTCAGATATACCATGACCCTGATAACTGTGAGACTCGTCGAGAAATCCCAGGTAGAACTGGTGATGACAATCCTGAGAGGGTATATAGTACACTGGAGGAGGAGGGTGCTCCAGAGAACTATGGCCGTGAAGTACCTGGGAGAACTGGCGTCGACAATCCTGAGAGGGTATATAGTACGTTGGAGGAGGAGGAGACTGCTCCAGAGAACTATGGCCGTGAGGTACCTGGGAGAACTGGTGACGACGATCCTGACAGGGTTTATAGTGTGTTAGAAGACGAGACTGCCGAGTCAGATTATTTGACAATACTGCCAGAAAAGTCAGATTATGAACAGCCGATCAACCCGCCCATATCTGATGCTTGAGTTCTTATTGTTTTTCTTTGTTATTGAACCGCGAATGCTGCAGTGACTCTTGACGACGCCGGAGTTTTGAGTTCGTGAATTATTTAATGTAACTTGCACGTATATAGAGCTTTCTGCATATAAACCGAATCATATGAGCCTGTGGTGCTCTGGGGAAGTCAATATGTTATGTTTACCATGCAGAATAAGCAATTAATCATGTGATGTATGAAATCCGACTATGAAGACTTTACCACGGATATTCAGCCCCCGAAATTAGTTAAGTCCGAAGCAAAACCGAGGACTGAGTAATTTCAAGGACTGGATATCTGGTAAAGTCCGAATTCTCAGATTTGATGTGACATCTCAAATTTACAAATGAATCAGTATTTTAAAATTTAAGTTTAAATATAACAAGATATAAATTCCTAATAATAATAATGCCACTATTTAAAACGAAATACAACATCCTGAGTTATTAATGAGTTCGGGAAATGTAATTTCAATATTACCAAAAACACTTTGTACATATATTTGAAACACTTGTACGTGGGCAATATTCTATTTGACTATCTTTATATGTAATCACAATTGAGTTCAGAATTGACTGCTGGATACCATACCGACTGTCAGTATTAATCAAATACAGACTCCCATGTAAATATTGCTTAAATTTCAATATATCATGAAAATAAAATTTCGAAATTCAATGGTCAGAATTTTCATCAATGATAATGTCTTACTATTCAGCCTTAGAAAATTCAACAGATTTTTGGGCATTTTCTTGATACATGTAAGTATGGTATGTAAACACCAGTTTGTACTGGCTAAATCATGCATGGTCTGACCCTTACAAATTTGAGTTCAGAATAGGAAATTGATCATTTTTGTACCAAGTATAATCCGCCTGCATATACTGGTTTCACTGAGCATTATCGTGCAACTGATGGTGGTCAATTGGACAGTTGACAAAGTGAGAAAGTGATGTTTAATTTTTTCATCTATTATACGGAGATGATATCGAGCCTAATTCACTCGCTGTTGTGTAAACATTTCTAAATTTGACCACATTTCAACCGTTTTATACAAATACGGTTAGCCACGAAACCCTACATATTAGAGAACAAGAATTATTGAACATTTAGAAGGCTGGTATAGAGAAACTAGCCTCGTGAGATTTCATGTTTGGTTTGATCAAGTTCGCCATTTCCTTTCCATTCCTTTTTTGGTGAAATATTTAATTAAGTTATTTAACTTGTCTTAACCTGTTTCTATTTTTATTTAGTCTCAACTGCTTGTCAAGAATGTCAGAATCAAGAAAACACGTCGTTTTTGAACTCTGGGCCTTATTCTGTTTTGTGTTCTACCAAATTGCCTCTGGATTTCCTGAGACTAGATTAACCCGCGAACAAGATGGAGATTATTTTAACAATCTCCATAGAAATTGTGATTATGGTGACGAAGAAGGATTTTGTTTTTCGACAAATTCAATTTGCTCTTCTACTCCAAGCAGGAAATGTTGTTACTGTAAATGTCGCGCAATGGAAACGACTTTTAGTGTGACAAATTTACGCTGTGCGCCAGATCTGGACTTTCGACAAGGTACGGATATGTAATATATATAAGATCTTAAAGTAAATTTTTCTATGTTAGTTGTCAGCGACGTTATCAGCTAGACAATTGTCACTGCTCAAGTACGATATTTTGGAACATGTTAATTTCTGAATTCCATATCGTTTGTCACTTATCAGTAGATTTACCACAAGCCCGCGTCGCTGAAATCCTTGCTTGGGAAGGATTTTGTGAAAGACCAATAAGTTCAAAACCCATTGATTGTGGACTTGTATTATAATTACAAATTAGAATTTTGGGGCATCTCATTTCATTAAACTATTGTTGAACGATTGTGTATATGGAAATTCCGCGAGTGTAAAATTCTATACACCTATTTAGATCTGTAAACCAGTTGCGAAAAATGCAACTATCAGTGGATTTCACTCGAGCCATACAGTGATATACAATAGGGAAACGCTTGTTGCAATGGTGGTCAACTTTGCACATATTGCTCCTTTATGCCTTAATGTGGAAGCAAGTAAATTTCGTTAAAGTGCATATATTTGATACCAAACACAAGATCAATACTTATAACGAATATTTAACTTGATCCGATAGATGTGTTTCCTTTTGGAGTTTACCTAAGCGCTAAACCTATCACGTGACTCAAACCCAGCTATATTGATCCTCTGGCAGGAATTGAATCTGCGATTCCGGTGCAGTTCTCTAACCAACTGAACTATAAAAAGTCCAGTTGTCGACGAGCTTTAAGCCTCTAACCGCAAGTTCTTGTATATTTGTGATATATGCTAAGGTGATTCCATGGTGAAGTATATATGGATAACGCTTGCATGTATTCTAAAAGCTCACTTACTCAAAGAGTGGAGGTTCAATCTGAGGCTTCCCTTGAGTGTCAATGCTGTTTTTGAATAGCTGGAGGGTTAGTGTCGTACCTTACTATGTGACTACTCACCCTGCAGCTATTCAAAAACAGCACTGACATTCAAGGGAAGCTCAGATTTAACCTCCACTCTTTGAGTGTGAGCTTTTAGAATACAGGCGTGCATGTAAATATCAGGTTTTTGCAATTTTGGTCATTTTACTCGATTGAACTTATTGTCCAGGATTTCGTTGAAGAACATTTCGTGTAAATTTTATATTTAGAACTGTATTATTATATTCTTTGTGTTTAATGATCATGAATTGTTAATGTAAAACGTGTGTAATGAATATTTTGTGTGTGTGTTTTTTTTATTTTAGGATGCAAGGTAAAGTTTGATGATAAAAATTTAAACCCGCCAATAAAACTCCTTGATCTAACCAAATGGGGTGAAGCAAAAATATACTGGCAACCTGACTCCTCGCATGATAAAGTGAAATCGTTTCACATTGTCAATATGTATTCGTATCATGATGGAAGAAAGATTGACAGTTTTTTAAAAGAAAAACGAAAAGGAAAGGAGAAAGAAAAACCAAAAAAGAAGAAGGATGGTATCTGGGAAGCTAAAATTCAAGTAAACTTTATTTACTTATTATACCGTAAATTTCCGCCTCTCAAATAAGCACTAGCCCCCTATGTACTTTATTTAAGTCCTCCTCTGGTAAGTCCCCTATGTAATATGTTCCCTCTGTCTAAATAATACCCACCCCCTAACAAGTCCTCTGATAAGGAGCATAAGTAGCTACGTCCAGAATTAATTATTTAAAGTTGTCGGCTTAAGCGTTCAAGTACCGAGATTCCATTACAAAGGGAGTGTAAAAGAAGACACATTCTTTTGGTTTTGTTTTAGTGGAATAGCGCTCATTCTTACAGTGGCAAACTGTTCAAAGTTAATATCTCATACGAAATTGAAAAAAGTGACAAAAGTCGCATGAACAGAAACGATTGCTTCGTTTTCAAGTGTAAAGGAAGTACCGTGGGTATGAAAGAGACTCTCTTTGTGCTTTTTTATTTAGCAAAGTGCGTGCAGGGTCCAGTAACGCTCAATGGGTAGGGTTAGTTAAAAAACTATAAGGGCCCCTAACAGTTAGGGGGCCCCATCAGCTACGGCCTATCGCCCAGAAAATTAGAAAACTTTAAAAATGAAGGTTAAAGAATAAATGGGAAAATACAAAATGATGAATAATGCTAAATATAAAGCCTATTGACATAGGGGCTCCTACACCAAATATGCCCAAGGCCCCCCCCCCCCCTTTCCTCCGTTACGCCACTGGCAGGGCCGTCGGCATAACAATACTGTTGTCCAGTTTTGATCCAGTGATGGAAATATTAATGTTCGATTGTCTTGTCATCGTTTGAAAACTCGACTGTTCTCCAAGCCATGCAGTCACGCATTGTTTTTACTTATTTTGCTTATTTTGCAAGGCACCTGGTAAGCGCACACCCACTTAACTGTTTCGTTTAACACTGTAGTGACTTTTCCAACTTTACCTTCAACGACACCACCACCTTCAACAACAGAAAAATCAACAACCCGGAAATCAACTTCAACCGAGAAACCCACTTCAACAACTGAAAAACCAACTTCACCAACCCAGAAACCAACATCACGAACCGAGAAACCCACTTCAACAACCGAGAAACCCACTTCAACAACCGAGAAACCAACATCACCAACCCGGAAACCAACTTCAACAACCGAAAAACCCACTTTACCAACCGAGAAATCCACCTCAACATCTATTTCATCATCAAGTATGGTGCCTTCTCCTACAGAAGAAATTTTAACAACTGCACGATTTACAAGAAAAGCACCTAATAATACACAACCTACCAGAAATACACCACGCACAAGAAAACCAACAGATCCGGAACAACCACATGTCCTCACGAGCGAAATTTCATCGTCCAGTATCGCTGCAGACGTTCCTGAAAATGAAAGACAGAGTTCCGAAAATGAAGGAAACAAAATGGTCTATATCATTGTTGCTGTGGTCGCTATTGTCACTGTCATTGCTTTGGCTGTTATCGTCCGTTTTGTCATGATACGTAAAACTAAGAAGAAAATGTTAAAGAAGTAAGATGGTTTATTAAACTATTATTTCATACACAGGAACAAAGTTACTACAGTGATTTAAAGAACCAAAAATTATGTTGAAAAACGAGGAATTATAGCCGAATATTTTCACACACTTTAAGGTATTTTAAATCACATTTCGACTGAGTCAATATACAACTTCTCAAACGAGCCCGTATTTAATTTTTGTAAAATAAAGTAAAATAATGTTCGACTTAATTCAGCAAGACGTTTGCTACCGAGAGACAACGATACGGTATACTGCATGCTTTCCTTTCCGTTTTGCTCATGAGTTTGAGAATTAACTGTCTTTTTTTCCTTTAGGCGTGAAAGCAGTGCTAATATTATAATGTCAGGTAAGTTTCCAGCTGAAATGTTTTTGCTTGAATTATTTTAATATTGTTTGATGGCAGTTTCAAATATTAAAACTGGAGTTCTCAAACATTCTTTAATTAATCTAGATATTAATAAAAATAATATCAATGAAGATGAGGATGGACTCTACACAACTTTAGACAAGTCCACGCGCAACGATGAGTCAAACTACCAGGCCTTGACATTGCCTGGAGCAAAAAATGTAAGCTTTGGAAAATGTGTAAATATTTGTGAGCGTTAGGTTGTTCAACCTTGCAAGCCACGCTCTGAAAAATTTTCCCCCGATTCAAGAAATGGTCAACTTTAGAATTTTCACACATCTCTTATTTTTTTTATTTTTCACTCCTATATGTAATGAAAAGAATTTGCATTATAATCTTAGTGTGAACGCTGTTGATTTACCACCATTTGCTTCAGCTATAGACTAACTGATTTTGATCTACACAAGAAGAACGAAATCCCATTACCATATAGCTGGAAAGTAAAGCTGCAAAGATTGGTTGCTAAATGTTGAAAATGAGGATAATATATCCCTGTGAAGTTCACAAATTTTGTATAGATTTGTATTACGCGTGGTAAAATACCACTTTCGGCTCAAAAATGGTTATTTTTCACGCGCGCAATGCAAATATACACACGAAATCCGCGAACTTCACAGGGCTATATTTTCTTCATTTTACAACATCAGTTTAGCAACCAATCTTTGCAGTTTTACTCATTCTAAGACGCTCTTTTTAGCTGTGGTGTTGGATTTCGTTCTTCTCAGCTGTGCCTTGATCAATATTTCGTCCTGTAGCTGGAATCACCCATTGTTTTATTAATCTTCACAGAAACCAACAACCATATTCTATTCTTTTTCTTTTTAGAAGCAACCCACAGTTAATGCTTACAATGAAAAAATGCATCAAATTGAAGGTAAGTACAATAAGTATAGGTTATACAACTTATAGGAGACTTTTCAGAGTGAGAAAATTAATGTAGTTTAATTGCTTGCTTTAAATTTTTGAAGCAAGAACAGTTAAAAGTGTGTGTGAACATTTAAAAGTGTGAAACCAAACACAAAGCTACAAAATAAAAGGCCTTTGCATTGTTTACAAATATTTCAACTTCATTAATATTATTCATCGTTGTTTTACTTCATTATACGAAAATACAATGGCTCAATAATAATGGCTCAATAATAACATCCAGTTTCCAAACCATCATATATGTTCAGTTTCCAAACCATCATATATTGCCGGATAGACAAAACATAATTAGTTTATTTCCAAGCCAATAACCTATGGTTTTCTATCTTTAGGCGACTATATACACCTTGATGTCGATAACGTGTACAGCACAATTGATCCTCAAATAAATGACAGAAAAGTAGGGGCAAAAAGTAACGACGCATTTGATGCAAATGAGGACGAACGCGCGTATAGTATTTTGGAACAGTACCCAAACCAGATCGATTATACTACACCATGTACTGGAGATGAACGCGTTTACAGCATTTTGGAAACGGAACCAGGCCAGATTGCTTATCCTACACCAAGTACCGTGTATAGTGAACCTGATTACGTCACAGTTTTGGATAACAGCGACATGGATTACGTCACAGTTTTGCCGCCAAAAGTTGAGCCTGGCCAATCAGATTGCTCCGTTTATGCCGACTTGTCTGAGCAAAGAGCTGGTGAAAATGAATATCAAAGTTTGGTTAGACGAAAGAAATGAAATATTTAGTTGAATGCAAAATGATTGTTGAACGTTTAGTTTCTGAAAGTGTAAAAGCCTAAAAACTACACATGTACAATTTACAAAATTAAATTTCTTGAATTCATACAATGTTGTGGTCAATTTTAATAAATTTTATAAACGAAAAACTTTTTTCAGTAATACAACATATCTAACATACTTGCCCTAACATGACGTATTGCAGGCAGCACAAGATGAAGGTTTGTCCATCCAGATATATTTTGAGATCAAAATTACTTCGACAAATATTCAACCCTCCCCCACCCCCGTGACAGGACAAGAACCAGTGAACTTGTAGCACTTCCCCCCTGGTATGAAATTCTGTAAACACAAGAGCAATACTGAAAGAGCGCAATCAAAATTCATTTTCATATTGATTGCGCTGCAAGAATTAAAGAGTACCTTTGATTCTCAAATACTTTGGTAAACGGCATTTTCATGGAGCGACGATAGTCTCTTAAGCTTTGCCTTAATTTAGAAGTTATGGCTTGTTTTATATTTCCTGGCAGGAATTTGATTATACTGTTTGTATTGCTGTATTTTGTTTTACTGTTTTGTTGTCATGCTTCCTGCGTTCTTGTAAATGTTACACGGAACGGACAAGATATCTTTTCATACCCTGGTATTTTTAAAGGCTGCTCTGGTTTTTGCCAGAAAAGAAAGTCGTATCTCAAACAGGATTTGACAAAAATTGGCATATGTATTTGTGAGTGTAGATACGACTTTGGAACGTTTGTTACAGCCGAACTGAAATGTGCGAAAGACAAAGAAATACGTCATACAAGTAAGTATAGAAGGACTTTGAGAGCTGTTCACCAAAAATATGTGATATAATTTTACATAATTTTGTTTTCATTTGCACTTTGAATAACAATACTTGCTGCTAGGCTGATGTCTAGGGTCCCTGACATGCAGTAATTTACTATATAAATTTTATATGCCTTGGCTTGCTTAGCCCTGCTATGTACTGTGCCCAATTTGTTAGTCGTACTTTAAATTTTAATTGCAGAGGAGAATGTGTTTCATAATTTATATAGCAAGATTAGACATACTGAGTTTATCAATTGGGTAGCCTATGAAGGTGCAGACAACATATGTTTTGAAGTCTGTGGCATGGCCGGGCTACAATTGGGTAAAAAAATTTGTCTGGCATTAGGTAGAATTAAATGCTAATTCTGCTCTTACTAATTATTTATCACTATGACACGTTTTTAGAGCAAACATCTTTGGAATTCAAGCTATACAAAAATGAACAGCCTGGCGGACCCCTGAATATATCATTTCATCCAGTTACAATAATGTTTCTCCCACCAAAGTTTTATAATGAAATTTGTGACCTGAATGATATTGAAGAACTCAGTGATGAACATTTGTGGCAATGGGATTCTGTGAAAGATCTATTATTAAATTACAGCATTATTGAAATTGACGATGACGATATTGAGAGACGCTTCACATGGCTTGCAATGACATACGAAGGTTGGATGATGTTAAGATTGAAAGTAAGTTATTGTTTGTTATATACTTCCTGGCACTAGGGCTGCACCAGTTAGTTGAAAAATATTCTGACATGGTTGGTGTGAGGTTTGAATAGGGTCTTTAAAACCAGAACTTGTGGTGTTCTGCCGTCTGGTCTGTCTGTCTGGTCACCACGCTTTTCTTTGAAACTGGGAAACCCGGATCTAATCTGTGGTCAGACCTCTACTCAAGGTCTTAAAGTAATTGAGGAGGAACTCTAACTAATTTTACATTGATATCAGTAAGTGCATGGTTAGACGTTTGTGTCTTCTCGGTACTCCTCTGGAGAGAGCCTGGGTATGAGGTTGGTTAAATCATAGGTACCTTGGATCCCCTATCAGTTGGGAAATATTTAGCCTGTTTTGGAAGTTTTCTCACCAACAAGTGAGAAACTCAACAAACTCAATAGTTGCATTTTTTGCATCAACAAAAACTGTTAACATATATCATGCGTTCTCTTGTTCACAGTGGCGTGTCAGTCTTGACAGATTTGTTGGCCGAATAATGCGGATCAATGTCACATGTGAAAATTCAAAAAATACCAGGCAGAAGAAAACTGGTGTAATGGTTTTCAAAGTCAATGGAACTTTTAGAGGTAAACCAGCTAGGAAAACAGTTTTTGTACTAAATGTTCATAACCTATTCCTAAGCCATATTTATGTGTGTAGCTGTTCTGATCAGATGCAAGGATTAGAATTTTTAACCGAAAGATTTTTAATTATAACCATCTGAAGTTACTCCTTAGATTTTGAAAAATATAATTTAACTCAATGAGTCACATTTCACCCTGATGCACCCTACTTTATTATTTTACTCTGTCTAACACCAGATTATTTTACTAGATGTCTAATGTCAGACGATTTTACTTGTCAAGAGGAGAGTGCTAGTGTTTAACCATTGGGTGGCAGCACTCTCCCCTTGACAAGTAAAATTGTCTGGCATTGATAGAGTAAAACAACAAAGTATATCATGGTGCATCAGGGCACATTGCCACTTAAAAGTTAAATTAACAGGATGCATGGAATTCAAATTCAAAATACAGATAGTTTGATTAACCCATTGAGTGGCAGCCTTCTCCCCTTGACGAGGAAAATTATCTGGTGTTAAGCCCAGGTCACACTACACAACGATAACGATACGATAACTTGTATACGCGTGCTGATTGGTCAAAAATTTATCGTTATCGTCCGACTGAAAAAAAAATCGCTCAGGTGAGCGATTTTAAAATCGTCATCGTTATCGTCTAACGATAATTTTATCATTTTCGTTGTTGTGTGGACACTAGCACAATTTTTTTGACAATTATCACGTGTTTACAATTTATTGTATCGTTATCGTTGTGTAGTGTGACCGGGCCTTAAGGCAGAGTGAATAATAAAATAGGGTGCCCCAAGGTGCATTGCCACTTGAAGGATCAAAATCAGTTTGGGGGATCCAACCCCCATTTCGATCCTTTGAGCCTCACCACCAAATGAATTGTGTTGCTTAATAATGGAATCTAACTTTAATATTTCAAATATTTAGTTCAAGATGATACCATCCCAACTTCAACTGTTCCTGCTGTGTCCACCACATATTACTTAACCCCTACCCCATCCACTGAATATTCAGTATTTGTGTACAGCACCACTTCAATGATACTATCTACAACAATGACATCATTGCCATTTATACCAATGACATCATCGCCATTTATACCAATGACATCATTTTCACTCCAACCTATGATGTCATCATCATTCAAAACAATGATGTCATCACTGGAGACAATTACATCATCCCCACTGGAAACAATGACATCATCACCACTGGAAACAGTGACATCATCATCACAGGGAGGAATGACATCATCATCAATATCCCCTTCAAGATCATCGTTCAGTGTTTTAACAGAAAGTGTGATTTATTCTTCGGTATTGTATACATATTTAATTTTTTTCTGATAAAAATGTGTACAGAAGTATTGTATGTGTGCAGCACATTGGTCTATGAATGAGATCGATTATGGGCTCCTCAATTAAGTTGGGAAAAGCTTCAATTCAGCAATCCAATGGACCTTTAACCTTATAACTAAAATTTTGATCTAGACAAAAATTTCATCACAGCTTGAAAGAGTATCACAAAATTAGTAATACTGCAAAGTTTCATTACGAACTGTTGTAAAATGCGGATAATATAGCCCTGCAAAGTTTGCAATTTTCGGTCATTTTAGATTACAAACGGGAAATTGATACCCAAATCGGGTGTTTGGGTATCAATTTCCCGTTTGTAATCTAAAATGACCGAAAACTGCAAACTTTGCAGGGCTATATTATCCGCATTTTACAACATTTTGCAACGAAACTTCAGAATATTACTAATTTTGTGATGCTCTTTCAAGCTGTGATGAAATTTTTGTCTAGACTTGTTTAGATCAAAATTTTAGTTATAAGGTTAAAGGTCCATTGCAACAAATAAAGTCACAAATGTCACAAGTAAGGTGTGCAAAGTAAACATTTTAAATTGTGGATTAAATCTATATACACAGTAGTTTCACAGCTATTCAAGCGTGTACTAAGCAAAGTTTGAGAAAATTACTAGTTGATGATATAACAGTACAAAAAGTGCTCTTATATATCATACAACTGGCTGCTACTGTATATACTCTAACTTGTGCCATGAAATATTGTACTGTATTATGACTATTGGTCTGTGCCAGTATACAGCAGGGGTGGAAAAAGTATCGGACCACGGGACCCAATTTGGTCCCAGAAAATTTTTTGAGTTCCCAGAAAATATTTTCCCAAGAAAGAAAAATTGTAATAATTCAAATAAAAAGAGAAATTCAGAGGAAAATTCACACCATGACCTCAGAAATGCAATTATAAGTGTAACCATCTTAATAGTGCGATAGTGTATAAATGTATTAGACTATAGAACGATGTAAAAAATGTTGTATGGCAAATGCATTTTTAGTTGATCTGGGACAAACTTTTTGGGGGGAGCATGCATGATCTCCCTGATAGTGTCCCCTAAAAGTGCCCTAGCTTTTTTGGTATCTGTATTTACCCTTAGGATCAGACCCTTGATGCATGTCAGTTTTGTGTTATATTTTAAGATTCTTAGTGAAATATTATTTCCAGTGAAATATTTTTTCCTGTGAAATATAGCATGACATCCAGTTTGACAACTTGTTAGTGTCACACAATTACAGTGTCCAAATGTCCATTTATTTGACTATTTACAGAAAATGTTCAATGTTCTCTTGCGGTCCCAGAAAGTAAAATATTTTTTCCACCCCTGGTATACAGTAGGTAGTGACAATATTACCAGAAAGCTCTGGATTAAGAGGGATTCAACTACTGGTACCTGGTGTAACAGATTTTGTGTACATTTTATTTAGACGTTGTCTTCAATGGCGCTCAGTTCATCATCAATGACTGTGGTTGGTCCTGCCAAGACATCAAAATCATCGAGCAGTGCTGCTGTGACTGGTGGTGTTGTTGGTGGTCTTGTTGTGCTGTTGCTGATTGCTGTGCTCCTTGTGTATGTTTTAAGAAAGAGAAGAAGGATTCTTATAAGGTATGTGACCAAGACTAAAGATTCTGGTTTGTGTCAGATGGATAGATAAACCTTCAGAACTCTGTGAAATCACTTCCCAAGCAAGAAATGGCATTTCAGGGGGGAGGGGGTATGCACTCAGGTCCCTCTATGAATTTTACACCTTCAGTGTTTAATTACCACATTATACCTTTGGCTTGGTGGCTACCGGTTGACTACTCGTTGTTCCTAGAACAACTTGTAAAACATTTGGAGACCGTGCTTTTGTCAAAGCTGGTCCTGTTGTGTAGAATATCTTGTCTCTTAATATAAGAGAAACTTCCAATGTTTCAACTTTTAAGAAACTTTTAAAGACCTTGTTGTTCACAAAGGCCTTCGGTTAATAGAAAGACTTGTAGTTTTTAGCAATTTTATGATGTACCATTTTGGACTCCTGTAAAAGACACATATTTATACATATATACATTTAGTTATATAGTTGATTACAATGTTGTAAGTTGTAAACTGCACTTTAGAATATTTATAGTTTTAGCGCAATATAAATACTTTTTAAATTAAATTAAAGGCCATGTTACACGGTGCAATTTTTCTTGCAACTTGCAATGCAATTGTTCTCTTGAGAGATGTTAATTAGTGAAATCAGTGAAGAATTTTCGATATGTTGAGAAAACATCAGCGGAGTGTAATGAAGACTCGTATTTGGCAATTTTTCATCTCTCAAGAGTAGAATTGCATTGCAAGTTGCAAGAGAAATTACACCGTGTAACATGGCCTTAAATTAAATACTGTCACTTTTTGGCCACCTACTTCTAAATTTGATAACAGCCCTGTATACAAGACAGGCTGTCCAAAATTTCTTGCGGCAGAAACCAAATTGGGTCACCTCAAAATCAACTTTGCGATAACCTGTATGGGTTTACCAAAACAAAAATTGTCAGAAAAACTTAGAATTTATTATAATTTTATATGTCCAAATGAATTGTAAAGTAACCCAATTAGATCACAGAACGCGTATAGAAAATTTAAATATGAACTGTTAACAGGGGCGAAACTTGAGAGGGGGGGTATGGGGGATGTGACACCCCCCCCCCCCCC